TTTTTTTTGGTGGTACCAGAAATCAAATTTGAGACCTTGGGCTTATGAAGCAGGCACTTATGCTGCTGAGCTGTCTCCCCAGTCCTGGCTTCAGCCTTTTCAGATCTATGAAGTTATGCATAGTTATTTGGGCTCCCAGTTTTGATGACTTTGCCTTTTCTCCCCTGTATGAGAAAAAGCTTTTTTTCCCCAATCCTTTGCTATAACAGTAGCGGAGATTCAGTGGAGTTGAATGGGTGTTCAGTCCTTCAGTGTTAACTTCCCACATAGCTCGCATCTCTTACTCTTTCTCCCCTTCTTTCCCAAGTTGCAGAACATTCTCTTCCCAAAACCTGAACTAAGCATCACTCTGTCTTTGCGCATCTTCATTCATACCCGTCAGTGGTTGCTGTACTTAAGTCGGCCCAAGGATCCAGATCTTTGAACATTAGGGGTGAAATTTCATGGGAGGACCAGTAGGGCCTTCCCTTTCCAGTATCCCCCTAATCAAACTCAACAGTTGCCCACCCATGTCTGTACTCAAGCCAACATCATTGGAAGTCCATCCACATAGACCCTGACTAGAGCATTTGCACATTAAAACACACCTTGCCTCTGTCCTTGTCCTCCAGTTCACACCTGCATCTCAGTCTTGTGCATGTCTCCTTCTCCTCCTGGGTGCACATGAAGACAATATTCCATGTTCCTCTCTCCTAAATTCAGTGACTTCGCTTTATAAAGTTTCTCATTGGCAGCTGGGTGTGCAGCCCCCTCCTTGTGTCTGTCCTGGCTCAGTGCTGCTGGGACTTGGATATAGAGTCAGATGCTCAGAATTGATCTGTGTCTTGCTTGGGAATGCAGGAGGTCGTCCACGAGAGGCTCAGAGTCCCACGAGCTTAGTGAAGGAGGGGATGAAAAGAAGAAGCGAGATTCTCGGAAAAGTGGCTTTCTCAACTTAATCAAGTCCCGGTCCAAGTCTGAGCGACCCCCAACGGTCCTGATGACGGAAGAGCCCTCCTCACCAAAAGGAGCCCTGAGAAGCTCAGCTGCAGACACCCCCAGGAGGGAGCTGAAGGCCTCGGAGCACAATGGGAATTCCGAGCGCACAGAAGAGCTGAAGACGCCCGACTCCCTTGAAGAGAGCCCAGGAGAGGAAGTGGGGCGTGTGGAGCGTCAGGACAGCCGGAGCAGCCCACAGGGGGGGCGCAGGTACGGCGTCCAGGTCATGGGCAGTAGCCTGCTGGCCGAGATGAAAGCCAAGCAGGAGCGGAGAGCTGCGAGCGCGCAGAAGGTGAGATTCCTTCCTCCTATGCGCTGGTCGGTTGCCACTTGGTTTTCATGGGAGATGGAAGTACAGAAAAAGAGGCCTTCGTTAGCTAAATAAACATCTGAGAACAGGGACCTGATCTAAAATGAAGCCAGGGCTGGGCCAGAAGGCAGGCAGGCCATGTCCACTTCAATCCTGGGTTCATGCTTGGGGGCAGGAGAGGGCATGCTGGATGGGAGGGAGCCTGCTGGCCTGTAACTCCTGGCCTTTCCCAGGGGCCTAGGACCTTCCCGTGCCTGTTTTGAAATTTGCTCAGCTATTCCTGGAGTGTCCCATCCTCGCTGTGGGGACTCTGAGCCTGCTGATGGACCCCTGAGGGCACTTGGAGATAGGGGAACTGACAGGCGAATAAAAACACAGGAGCCAGACTATAGTATATAAAGGTAGAATCTGGCCTGCAGGAATTCCTAAGTTATTCCTTTTCCAAACCTCAAAGCCCTTTTCCATATCTCAGATTTAAGACAAATATCCTGTTAGAATTAATTAAATATTTGCTATGTATTTATTCCTCTAAAAAACAATCCACAAAATTTCAAAATGTTTGAGTCTTCCCAAATACAACTTTTAAAGCATTATTTATTGTTTGAGCCTCTTTTTATTTACTTATTTTTTTCACAGACAAGGCCTTCCTGTGTAGTTCAGGTTGGCCTTAGGCTCACTGTGTAGCTCAGGCTGACCTCGAACTTGCAGTGATCCTCCTGCCTCAGCCTGCCAAGTGCTGAGAGTACAGGTGTGTGTGCCCCCACACCCAGATGAGCCTCTTTTTAAAGTGCTCTTAGTGTCTTTTTTCTTTCCTTTCTCTCATTTTGTTCAATAGCTACTTAAAGGAACATGCTTTTGTTATAACCACTAAGAGAAATATGCCCATGTTTCACTCTGGTTTTAGTTTCTCTGCATTATCCTGAGTGATTTTCACTTTTACAAAACTGGTCACCCAATGAAAGGAAAATGGAATATTTGTTTTATTTTATGTATCAGAAGAGGGCCAGTCAAATAGCTCAGTGGATTAAAGTGCCCACGAGCAGGCACTGGAGGTTCAATCCCAGGGCCTGCCATGCCAGACCCGTCCCCAGGACACACTGAGAAAGCAATTGAGACTAAGCGTGGTGGCACACGCCTATAATCCCAGCTCTTGGGAGGCTTAAACAGGTGGATCACTATGAGTCCCATCTAGTAGTGAGACCCTGAACACCCTGTAGACCCTTCCCTAAAAAAAATAATGGGTCTCCAGTGAACCCTTTATCTTCAGAGTAATGGTAAACTACCATCCAGATGCAGAGGGCTCTTCTATGCCACTTCTAAACAATTCTTTTTCATTAAGTCCTGCATCCCACAGTTCACAGCTGGTCAGCAGTGTTTCCCGCCACCACCGCCACTGCCCGGCGATTGCCTAATTCCTGATCCTTCCTAGCTCACCCTTGGGAGGGAGACCGTGTAACTATATCCTGCTAGTTAGTTCTCCAAAGGAAGCATAACATGACCTTCACTGGTCAGAAAAATGAATAAGTACTACAGCTGCATCTTTAGTGAGTCAGATGTCTAAATGTTTACATTTTAATCCATTTTATACATTTCTTTTTAACAGTGAATACACTGTTTTCACTAATGAGCTGTTTATTTTGTCACTGTTTCCAGTGATGAACAGCTGCTTTTTAGTAGAAAGATGAGAAATTTTGGAGTGTTTTCCATGTGTCTTGGATTGATATATTAATTAACTGAAAGTGACAAAATCCTTATGGCGTATGCATTTTGTCAGACACAGTACACCGATGTTCCCGTAGCGCCATCTAGTGTCAAAGTAAACAGCCACCATCATTTGAACGTTTTATATGAAATTCAAACCAGTCTGAATATTCCATCAAGATTTTTTTTTTAAAGGCTCTTCAAAAATTAGCTTTACAGTATTTCTCCCTAAGATGTCATGACTGTCTTTACAAAGATGGTGATGTAAACATCCTATTAATGTACTGTAGGATGTTTCTTTATCCTCTCTGCAGAAGAATTCTCTTTACATGAATGAAGTTTAATACCTGCATTTAAGGGGAAAGGATGGTAAATGCGAAGGCAGGTCCTTTATCACTTACAAGCAGAGGGGCTTGTTGTGAAGGCCAAAAGGTTGTATCTTCTTCTGAGAGAAGGTACCCTGTCGGCTGCCTGCTGCAAAAACAGTGGGCACTGCCTTGTTTTACCCTGGCTTTGCACAATTCAGGGATGTATGTATGGCTCAGAAAACCTGGGAGAAAAAAAAGGAGAAAGAAAACAACCTAAGTTTCAGGCAAGTGCAGTCCTGAGTGTGACACATAAAGAAGTGCTCACTTGAATTTCTGGGGGTGTCCTTGAAAGAACCTGCAAGGGAGCAGTCCCCAGGGGTGCTCTGTGGCTGGCAGACGCTTGTTCTGGGCACAGAGCATAGCAAGTCCTTCCTCAGGTCGCGTGGCAATGCCACCTTGTGTGGCTCTTGTCACTGCAGGGCTCCGTGCACGCCTCTCCTAGATGCTCACACAAGAGCAGGGTTTGCTTGTCCTGATGAATCCCCTCAGCACCCGGCACTTCCTGTCACTTCCGGGTTGGAAGCCAGTGAGCTGGGAGATACCAGCTGTGTTTGTTAATCCCTCCTGTGTTTCCCAGGTTGATTTAAAGCTGAAATGAGGAGCAGACAATCGCTTTTGGGGTTTGTCAGAGGAAGGAACAGGCTGTCTACCCAGTCATCCTGCCTCCTGTTCCACCTGCCCACCCCACTTTGGTTTCTTAGACAAGAGATAAGTATAGATTGTCTTGGTTAGTAGAATTTGCAGATAGTTTTAATCAAATTCCAGACTTTATATTTCATGCCCTTTTTTGCCCTGTCTAATGCAGACTTATGCGTTGTAAGGGGAAGGGCTGATTTCTGCCTTGTCAGGTTCAGCTGCTTCCCCAAGACGGTGGCACTTGACCTACCCTGTCTTTGTCATCACCACCTCCCCTTTTTAAAAATTAGTTACAGCCTGAGATAGGCTCAGTGGTAGAGCACTTCCCTAGCAGGAGTGAGGCCCTGTATTCCTCCTCAGCAAAAACGAAGACTGCTCGTCCGTGCCTCTGGTACACATCTATGTCCTGTGGCTCGGCCTCCTGAGCAGCATAGACCCTGCCCGTTTTAGGCCCCCTTTCTCCTACGTTGAGTTTGAACAGGGCTGTGCTGCTTTTAAAACTAAAAATTGTTGCAGCACAGATGTGGACAGCGCCCTGTATGTTTGCAGGGTGTGAGTGGTCCTTCACATGGAGCATTGGGGCTGCAGCTACATAGGTGTTGGACAAGAAAGACAAGAAATGTCACTGAGCCACCTGCTTCCCTGGCCCATATGTCTCTGACCCCAAAACCATGAGAGTAACTGTAGTACCAAGTATGTTTTATATGGCTGTGTTCCAGCAATTGAGGCCCGGGGACATAAATGAGCCAGGCGCGCCATGCTTCATTCTCACTGATTTTCCTACTCACCTCCTACTCCCACACATCTTTTACCTACTATTAACTTACCCTGGGGGGGGGGGGCTTGAATTTTTTAGAAGCTTGGGAATGATGCCATGGCCCAAGATTATCCAAGCCCAGCTTTGAGCAGCATGGAACGGCTGGATGGAGGTGGGGCAGGTAAGCCAGGCTGCGCTGTTGCCCCTGAGGAAAATTGCTTCTGGCTTCAGTAGTCACCTGTGATTGACAGAAGAGAAATAAAAGGCAGCTGAAAGAAGGCCTCTGTTCTGTGTGTTCTCAGTTGCCTCCTGGGAGCGCCAAGTCCCGTCTCTGGTTGCTCTCCCCACAGCCAGTCTTCTGTGATAGAAGCTTTGTGCAGAGAACCCCTAAACTGTGGGCATTTGGTAGGGGGCACTGGAACATGGCCGATGGCCTGTGGAAGGTGGGCTGTTATGTGAGATCCGGGAAGAGTCTTCCTCACAACTTGGGAAATGTGCATGAAGGGCAGTGTTCTTTGTTTCTCTGACTGCGTGGGTGGAGTAAGGGTAAGATGCCTTAGATGGAGAGTAGGGGAACGCTTGTAAATTGCGGGTCAGCGTCCTGGTTTTGCAGTTGGATGCTGTTCTGACACTGTATAGTACCTTGATGCGGTGAGAGTTGAACTGTACATTGCACGTGACCAGCTCACTTCAGTCATCTGGCAAAGTAACTGTGGCTGGAGAAGCAGCGTGGGAGGACTCTGGAGAGTCTGCTCATCCCAGACATGAGCTCTGGCCTCCAGCTCGATCAGAGCCTGCAGCCACAGCCCTGCCTGAAGGGCACCTAGAACCGAGGAGCTTCCCGCTGACTGTACCAGGCCTCAGGGAGATCTCCTTCGGATGCATTAAGAACTGCTCATCTGTACAATGTTGTGGAGCAGGCTGCTACGAAGTATAAAACATGCCATTTTTGAGGTAGTCAGGGAGCATTAGAAAAGCTCTCTCAAGCTCATTAGTTTTCTGTGAAGAATTTTACTATTTTAACAGCATGCTTTAGATCTAAAATGTCTATGAAGAGAAATGACAGTAATGTTTCTATCAGTTTGTACCGGACTTCCACCTTTGAATTATTGCTTTCTTTGACTTTTGATTTTCACGTTTACTTTTTTGTGCCACTTTTGGTTTCAGTGCCTAAACTGCACCCAGGCCTTCCAGAGAACCGCTTTGGTTTGGGAACTCCAGAAAAGAATGCCAAAGCAGAGCCCAAAATGGAGGCAAGCTCGAGGTCTCGCAGCTCCTCCTGCACGCCAACCAGCCCAAAGCCCCTCCTGCAGTCCCCCAAGCCTGCCCTGGCAGCACGGCCCACCATCCCTCAGAAACCAAGAACTGCCTCCCGGCCTGGTAAGAGTCCTCCTGGCCTGGGAGCTCCTCAGGACCCACGGATCCCTGGGCAGTCTCCTGGGCTACTAGTGGATGGGGTGCAGGAGTTCCTGGGGGATTTCCCAAGAAACCCACAGGAAGTTGTGAAGGGGCCAGGGCTGCGGGCTTCATTGCCTTTGCTCAACCCCACGGCTGATATGTGTGGGGCTGGGGAGACCGCGAACATCCTTGTCTTCAGGGCTAGTTAGTAGGCAAGACAGGAAGGTCAGGCCTGGGTTTCGTCTCCAAGCATGACCAAGAAAGAGCTCTGCAGTCAGGCCCCTGAGCTTAGATCCTTGCAAAGGCTGAGCTGTAAGAATGAAGTCAGCAGAGGGGAAAGCCCGAGTGGTTTTTTCACACCTTTTTCTGTGACTCCTTAAGGATTTAGAGCAGGAACTGGCAAACTATGGGCTGATTTTTAAAAAATAATGTTACTGGCCAGAACCACACCACCTGCATTGGTTTTGTCTGTGGCTGTCTTCGCAGACAGAGACTGGGTGTAGTAGTTGCTGTGTAGTCTGCAAAGCCTAAGATGTTCATTCTCTGGCCCTTTCCCAAGAACTCTTCTGATTATTAATTTAGAAAATCTAATGCTAGAGGAAACTTGAAAAATATTAAACATGGATTAGGCTCTGCCTTACTCTCTTCCACAAAAAGTCTGCCTCAAATCATTCTTCAACAACTATCAGTGGTCAGATTTTCATAGAGAAAGAAAAGTTGAATGGATATTGTAAGGACTTCCTCTTCCTTTCACCCTACAAAAATTAGGCAAGCAGGGATAGAGGCAGTGAGGTCTTCACTGTCACCCTTCTTGTCACAGCTCTTCCTGACTGAGGCCTTGGCTCTGCCAGGCACAGCCCTGAGCACTGTGTGTAGACAGACTCCCAGGATGCTCAGCGCGGCTACATTTCATGGAGCTGTGGGAGGTGCAAGGTGCTAAGTTTCCCAGCCCCACATCTAGTGACAAGCAACCCAGCTCTGCGATGCCCCCAGCCTGCATTGGGAGATGATCTCCTGCTGACCTGCCACCGGAAAGTAGGGTACAGAACCCACCATAGTGAGTCGCCATGCAGACCAAGTGGTAGGAGGAGAGCAAATGCCATGCTTTGTGTGCCCGGACTGGTAGACTTGTCATTTTATCTTGTACATTCAGTTCACTCCTTATACAGCCAGCCTGGTTGGTCTTCTTCATTCTCTTGGGAAACCCAGTACACGGTCATCTAAGAGAAGCCACAAAGGAGAAAACCTCGAGAAACTGACCCTCGCGAACATCTCCTACTGCAGTAGGGGCTCCTGATTCTACTGCAATGTCTTCATTTGAAAAGTGCTTTTATGATGGGAAATACAAGCCATTCCTAGTGCATATGAGATGCCTTCATTGTAGAAGAAGTAGGGAGAAAAAAGGCAAAAAAAAAAAAATTGGAAAAACATTTTGAATGAAAAGCTAAAATTCTCAGAAGGTGGCTTGGCCATGAGATTTTTTATCAACCATTTATTCCTTTAGTTCACAATAAGGAAACAACTCTTATAAAGTGAATCTAGCCCAGTTTGTAGAGTATTTCAGCTCCCCAGTTGTAAATGCTGAATATGAAATCAGCTGGAATCCAATACTCTGTTGTAAGAACCTTTAATTTTCAGTTTACTTGCCAACTATGCCCATTTATTTTACAGTACTTAGCACTTTGAGAGTTACATTAATAAGCCATTGCTTTTGCAGAGATTGAGAACTGAGCAAGCGTTTTCAAATATACCTGTTTCCTCTCCACCAGCTTTGAGAGGTAGTCAGGGTCCCAGTGTCTTCTTGCATTCCTGCTTTTTTATGAAGCAAGTAGGTGACTTGAACAGATAAGGATGAAGAGAGTCGGCTGTGGGCTGTGTTCTACACACGCGTGTCTGCACACCCACGCTTCTGGGAGCCTTCCCATGCTGATAACAGAATGGAGAAAGGAGTGTGGTTCACTGAACCTCTGGCTGTAAGGTTAGGGAGCCAGAATTCTAATCCTAGCTATCCTGCCATCTTCTTAGCTTAGCAGACGATTTAATCTTTTCATTTGTCCTGTGACCAACGTCCTTTGTGATTCAGAAACTCCATGATTCCAAATCCCAGGGGCCTTCAGTATGTGGCTGTACGTATCTGAGCCCATGTATGTTGTGATGCTGCACTGGGTTTGGCAAGGTAAGGCAGTTTGTCATGCGGACAGTGTGTCATGCTTATGACAGCCAGCAGCGTTGTGTTTGGGGCAGAAGAAACGTGTGTTTCGGCTCTCTGCTCCTGTGCGCTCCCGTGCGTGCGCGGATAGCAGATCTTCCTAAACAGCCAGCAGCGATCCAGACAAGATGGTGAAGGTCGGAGTGAACGGATTTGGCCGTATTGGACGCCTGGTCACCAGGGCTGCTATTCTCTCTGGCAAGGTCGAGGTTGTGGCCATCAGTGACCCTTTTATTGACCTCAACTACATGGTCTACATGTTCCAGTACGATTCCACCCGTGGCAGGTTCAATGACACTGTCAAGGCTGAGAACGGGAAGCTCTCCATCAACGGAAAGGCTATCACCATCTTCCAAGAGCGAGATCCCGCCAACATCAAGTGGGGTGATGCTGGTGCTGAGTATGTAGTGGAGTCCACTGGTGTCTTCACTACCATGGAGAAGGCTGGGGCTCACCTGAAGGGTGGTGCCAAAAGGGTCATCATCTCTGCCCCTTCCGCCGATGCCCCCATGTTTGTGATGGGAATGAATCACGAAAAGTACGACAACTCCCTCAAGATCGTCAGCAATGCTTCCTGTACCACCAACTGTTTAGCCCCACTGGCAAAGGTCATCCATGACAACTTTGGCATTGTGGAGGGACTCATGACCACAGTGCATGCCATCACTACCACCCAGAAGACTGTGGACGGCCCCTCTGGGAAGCTGTGGCGTGATGGCCGTGGGGCTGCCCGGAACATCATCCCTGCATCCACTGGTGCTGCCAAGGCTGTGGGCAAGGTCATCCCAGAGCTGAACGGGAAGCTCACAGGCATGGCCTTCCGTGTGCCCACTCCCACTGTGTCGGTGGTGGATCTGACCTGTCGCCTGGAGAAAGCGGCTAAATACGACGACATCAAGAAGGTGGTGAAGCAGGCCTCAGATGGTCCCCTCAAAGGCATCCTGGGCTACACTGAGGACCAGGTTGTGTCTTGCGACTTCAACAGTGACAGCCACTCTTCCACCTTTGATGCTGGGGCTGGCATTGCCCTGAATGATCACTTTGTGAAGCTCATTTCCTGGTATGACAATGAGTTCGGCTACAGCAACAGGGTGGTGGACCTCATGGTCCACATGGCCTCCAAGGAGTAAGTGACCCCCACCACCACAGCCCAGCGAGACCAGAGGGATGGAGAGGCCACGCTGTAGAAGTCGTCACTGCCCTACTCAGCCCCGATACTGAGAATCTCCCCCTCACAGCTTCCATCCTAGGCCCCCTAGAAGGGGAAGGGCCTTGGGATCTCTGGCTCACTGCCCTTGCACACCATCAATAAAGCCCATTGTACCCAAAAAAAAAAAGAAACATGTGGTTCCCTGCTCTACAGACAGCAGCCCCCCGAAATGCTCTGCTGCAGTGTGGATTCACAGCTATGCCACTCTTAACCTTTTATCCTGGCATTCCTCGTGTTTTGTCTCACGTGTTTGTGGCAGATTCTCTAACCAGGAACACCAACGTACTTATTGGCCAGAGAATTTGATCTTTTTTTTTTTCTCTGAGTCATCCGCATGCAAAGATTTACATACTAATGGCTTGTGTGCTTCGAATGCAGTTTGTGGAAGAGTTTGATTTCTTTGTCTCTCCGTAGAGGATGTTCCAGACTCTCCATCTGGCCCTAGCTCTCCTAAAGTTGCTCTTCTTCCTCCTGTCCTGAAAAAAGTTCCCTCAGAGAAGGAGAGAGATGGGCAGAGTAGCCCGCAGCCCAGCCCCAGGACACATTCCCAGGAAGGTAAGCATTGATTTTCTCTGGAACTACTCTTCCCCCAAAGAGGCTCATTTCAAAAGGAAAAAAAATTAATGGTGGATCTCGCCCCTGTCTTAGGGTTCAAGACAGCATCCCTGGGGGTAAAGGTGGGGAACCAGAGTAATGTGCTAGTATAGCAACCTGGCGCAGCATCACTGATGACCTTGGACCTGAAAGGAGAATGCCACATGCAGCTGGAAGGCCTCAAGTTGCTGGATGCTCCTGAACTGGCCCCCAGTAGTGAGGAGGCCCTTGAGTGGATCCGTGACCTGCTTGGTGCTGCCTGTGGGTTTCTGGGTCTGTGCTTTCTCTGGGTGTTATCAGTACCCATTGCTGAGGTTCTGGACCAGAGAATGCAGAGGCCCTTTGGCCTGTAGTCCCCATTCAATTATGAGTCACACGCGTGGTCCCATCCTTGGGAGTGTGACACCTGTATGAACATGCCGAGGAATCACTGTGCCATTGCTGGGACTGATTGCCTACACCCATCAGGTTAAGTTGCCAGCTGTTTCAGGGGTGAAGCGCTTCTGCTTGCCCGTTCACCTGTCTTTTGCTCTCTGTCCTTTGTAAAGTGCAGTGTAAATGCTGTCTCTGAGCCCACCTGTACCTGGAAGGAAGTTCTAGAGTCCCACGAGCCATCCCCTATGTCCAGGTGGCAGTCTGCCATGTTTTGTTTTAGATTTGTCTGCACTAGAATCCTTTGATCTCTAGCTCCGACATTTCCTGCCTTGGTCCATTTTCTGGTTCCTTTTACCGGAGTAGTCCTCAATTGAAATTAATAGAAGGCTTTGCTGCATGTCTTTGTGGCTTGGGAGTCTAGCTGAAAACATTGGGTGCTTTTTCCATTCTGCAGAGTTATTTGGTGAAAAGAATCCTCACGTACCTATTAGCTATAAATTTTAAGAAGGTAGGGTTTTAACTGAAGCTGGAAAACTTCTTTTGCTGAATAGAGAAAGGAAATCCACAAAAGGTGGTTTGAATCTATAGTCCTTTCACACAGCATAAATAAATAGGGTTTCCTATTCTGCTGAAGTCTTTTGACTCTGGTGTGAAAGGCAGAGCCTCCAGTGGTGGCGGGCCAAGGTGAGCTGAGCTACTGAGTGCCCCTTGGTGGCTGGGTTCTCACTCCCATCACACCCCCACCTCCACTGTCTTGCCCCCTTCTGCGCTTGCTGACCTTACATCCTCGCTTTTAATGAAGTTTTGGCGATGCATTTGGGGAGTTTGTGGAGGGAAAGTAGGAAAAGGGTCATAGTGGTAAGTAGAAATGTTCATCTTATTAAAAGCACTGGCATTAATGAAAGATTTTTTTTTTTTAAATAGGGAGATTCAGTAAAGAAATCATTGTTATAATGTGTTAGGAAAATGATGTTTTCTGGATTCCAACAGACAATGAAACAAGGCCTACAGCAACCACCTGCAGCCCAGCCTCATGAGTACTGCTCTGTGTGTTTTAGAACCTTTCTAGTTAACCTAGTGGATGACACCTAGATGCCACAGGCAGACTTATTGGCTGTGGTGACAGAGCTATGTGTTCTTTTCTGAGAAAGTTAGATGTTGAGCTTATCCGCAGACATTTCAAGAATTTCCTCATTCTGCCCAAGAACAAACATTAGGCCTGGTTCATGCGCCCGTCTTTGCTGTGGGCTGGTTGGGACTGCACAGCTATAGAGACCATGCTGTCCCACATGGGATCCCGAATAAGCCCATCACAAGACCTTATGCCCCTGGTATCATGTTGTGTTGAAGTTGGCCCAGAAATACACGTGTAGTCTGAGAAAAGCTTGGGAATGCCTAGGTGGTGAGATTTTTAACTTCAGCTTGTTCCTTAGCTCACCTGAGTGGCCCGGGAATGGCAGCCACTCAGGAGTCCTGTTGTTTTCCTAAGAAACTGTTCCTGTTGCGCTCTTTCCTATTGTATATTATTCATGCTGGTTGCTTCGTTTCCTTGTTCTGTGCCTCCCTTTGGACTAGCGTGCCCAACTAATTTCTGAAACAGGTAAATTGCTGTGATTCTTCTGGATTATTCCATAGTGAATGTGATTTTTGTTAATCCATCATGAGATCGAAACAGTAATACTGGGACCTTTTTGTCAGTACCTTTTTGGGGCAGACTCAGAGTTCACTTCATCTTGCACGACGTTTCCATAATGTTGGCTGCTGAATTCTGTAGAGAATGGTACATCTGCCCAGGACCAACTCTCTTAAGCTCCTTGAATCCTAAGTCGGGTGCGTGAGCTGATACTTAATTTTTAATGTTAATATTTTAGTACTGATGCCAACCCCTGGATGTATTTTTGAACTATAAAGGGTAAAATGAATCCCTTTTCCTCAGTAGTGCAAAGAGGAGATTATTACAAAAGACATTCAGATCATGACAGTGGCAAGCCTTCCAGTAGAGGGAAAAGATCTTCAAAACTGTCCTCCGCCATTGCAGAAGAGGAAGTGAATGCAATTGGGCACAGGAGCTCACAGCCAACAAATGGTTAGAGCCTTCAATTGTCATCCCTCGCTGACCCAGAGCTTACGAACTGGCACTAACAAAAACAAGCTGTAGCATTGGGACTTGCGCTGCGGGACTAGGCTGGGGATCAAACAACAGGGTTTTTATTCATTCTAAATAGCCGCAGGATGGTCCTAATATTTGAGGCAAAAATATATCGACTCAACAATCTCAACTTAGATGTTCATGTGAAGAGGATCGAGTTGCCTTGGTGACTTGTCTGTCACATTTTCATGATCTGGAAGATTCATTTTTATGTTTGGGGTCCTTCCTCCTGTTCATTTCCTCCTGTGTCCTGTCTGTTACCTTGTAGCTGGGGTTGGTTGAGAGGTTGGGGAGCAGCAGAGTTTGTCCCTTAGAGAATATTGACATAAGGTCTTCTACTGTTTTCCCTACTTTTTTTCAGAAAACATCAATAAAAAACCACAAACTCAGTACAGACCTGGGGTCATGTGCGTGGTCTTTCAGTGGACATTTTATGACCTGTTAGTAACAAAGAAAAGATACCAATTAACTTTTTTTTTTTTTTTGGTACCAATTAACTTTTTAACCTTGAGGAACAATTTATCCTCTTCTCCAGCAAATTTTTATTGGCCCTTTGTCTTCTGTTAGACCCTACAATGGCTTCTGTAGGGTGGGAAAAGTCCCAGCAGACAAAAAGGACACAGATTCCAACCCAGTTTGAACCTCCACTGGGGAATTTTAGGACAGGCTTTGCCAACTCAAAGAGGAAATTTCTGTTTTGCGATAAAAGTACTCCTTATCTCCCTGGGTCAGACCTTTTTTATAAATACGATTTGAAACAGGGCATGGTGATGCTTCCCTGTAATCCCAGCATTCTGGGAGGCTGAGGCAGGAGGATTGCAAGCCCACGCTGGCCAATTTAGCAAGATACTGTCTCAAAATAAAAGGCAAATTTAAAAGGGTTGGAGATGTAGCTCATTGAGAAGGTCCTGAGTCAATCCCCAATAGCACGCACGCACACACATACACACACACACACACACACACACACACACACACACCCCTCTTGAAAAATCACTTAAAGGACCTTTTGGCATCACAAAAGCAGAATTTATAAAATATTCTGATATGTGAAATTTCCCAAAAGGACTTCTCTCCTTGGAATGAAGCTTTTTCTTCCTGTAAAAATGTAACACACGGGCTGCTATACAACTGCACCTGGGATCCAAGGGGTCAAGCCCACTTGTGTCACATTACTCTGTGCCCCTTGCCACTCCTTCAGGAAGCATTTGAGGACACAGCTAAGGAGAGTGACCTTAGGATAGGAACTACTCACTTTTATTGCAGAAAGGTGAACTATGTGCATAATAGACCTCACATGTCCACTCCAGTTTTGACTCCAATGGGGAATTTAAGGCCATAAAGCCTTGTGAGTCGGGACTGGGACACCGTGAAGCAGTGTCTCCCAGCTCATCACCAGGAACCCCTTTTACAACTTGGAGGTCCCAGTTGGAGAGCCTGGAGCTCTGATGCCCCCTGGTTAGGACAGAGTAGAGATTAAGATGCCACCTAGAGCAGAAAGTAAAGACTAAATCATGTAAGGATAATGGACTAGGTAGCACCTGCCCTAGACTAGTTGAACTGGTCCTTCACTTTTAGGGGGCTTTTTTTTTTTTTTAGGTCTTTTTTTTTTGGTGTACAGAAAATGGAAGTAGCCAGGACCTACACATAATAAGAAGATGCACTACCATTGAGCTACCTCCCATCCCCACCTATCGCTTTTTTTTGGGGGGGGGGACACCAGGGGTTGAACTCAGGCCCTTGCACTTGCCAAGTAAGCGCTTGTTCTACTGAGCCATCTCCCCTTTCACTTTTAAAATTTCCTATGTGAACGTATTTTTCTAAAGAGTGGTAGAGTTATTTTTGAGGATATACTAAGTCCAAATCTCTGTCCCTGTACTGCTCTTTTGTTAAAGATATGAGAGTACATAGACATTTCTAGAACCTGGGAATTTACACTTGTACTGTTACATTCCTTGATTCAAGTCACTTACTAACAAAGCAACTTCGATACAGTGGTCCTTCCAGAGCCACTGAGAGCATTTTGTACGACAGAAGGCCATCAGCTGCAACACCACATGAATCACCCTGGGAAGGCTTGGAGCTAGCATGCAGAGGGCGCATGCAGACAGCCCAGTCGTCCAAGGCCAGGCCAGACATTCCGTGTCTGCTGCACATTGTTTCGTGACCTCCTCAGCTTACTGTTCCCCTTGTGCTGGATTACATTAAACTTCTATGGAATTAGTAGGACCATCTTGTGCTAGCTTTGCTTCCTTGATTTCTTGAATAGATACGCAAAAGTAATTTTTACCAGCGCTTCAATTAAAATAATTTTCTAACTAATAATGGAATTTTGTTTTGTTAGTGCCGATTCCTAGCACATGACAGTCTTCACCTTTGAGAACAGCATAGCAGTCTGCTTTCTGAATGGTTCCTGGCTACACCAAATCACAACAAAGCACACCAGCCAATGAATGGCTTGTGCTTTCCTTAGAGTCTTTTAAGAGCAGCTTTGCTAACATGAAAACAATTGAATTTCCAAAATTATGGGTTTTTTGTTTTTTGTTTTTTGGCGGAACTGGAAATTGAACTCAAACCCTTGTGCTTGCCAGAGAAACGCTTATTCTACTGAGCCATCTCCCTGGCCCCCCAAAATCATGTATTTCTGAAACCAACAGAGGCTGCTGTTCTCAAAGCATGCTGCCTATTCTTTATCATGATTGCGTCTTGTGTGGCTCTTTTAATATTAATTTGACAGGTAAAATGTTTACTCTTGCACTGGAAATATTTGTAACTGCATCTTTTTAGTTCCATATCATTTCCCTTTTGCATTTAACTAGAAGCTGTGAGAGTTTCATACCTCATTGGCATAAATCCTATGTTCTTGAAGAAAATAGTGGCTTTTGCTTGGCTTTGCACGTTTTGTAGTAGATCCCACTTGTACAGTGTATCTGCTTCTGAGATTCCTTTTACTTCTTGCTTCTTCAATGCTCCAACGTGCAGTTGACGAATGTTTGGCTGTGGCTTGTAGGGTGACAGCTGGAGCTCTGTTCTGAGTTTTCCCACTAAATCCAGCTTCTTCTTTCCCTATATAAATCCTTAAGAGAAATTTAGCAGTTGGTTGGCATCTTGGCTGCTTCCTAGATGAGAAAAAAAAAAAAAAAAATCAAAGCCAGTTACCAAACATGATTTTAAGGTCATCATTTTTCCTTCCTGAAAATGTAGATGTTAGGAGAGCTTACAGTGGGGAAAAACTCACATTTTTATGTGAATCTCTGACTCTGGGTTTATAAGCATATTTCAGAAGGTTTTAAATTAGCAGATATATATTTGCATGTATGCATATGCAAAAGCCAAATCATCTTCAAGAGGAACAGACTTCATGTTTAAGCCTCCCTATGACAGTTACTGTGACTGTATAGGGATGTGAATATGTATGCAAGGTTGTACTGCATAAATTATCCTCTCATTTACTTGAGTATCCTTTACCAATTATTAGTACACAAAATGGGAAGAAATACATGTAAGGACACAGAGACACTTCTGCACTCTTAACTGTACAAACAAACTAAAGAAGTCCTATTTATTTTTTACCCTCTATAAAATCAAACATTAAATCAAGCTACTTAGGAGGAAGCCTTTCTAAATTAGTAAAAACCCTGAAGTTTTTAAATGTGTCTCAAATGAATTCCAGAGATTTAGGTTTCAAGCAGACAAATTCTACTTAGGCCATCCTTTAATCTAAGCCTGACCAAACCTACTTCAATATGATTGTAATTAGCATTTTAATTATATGCAATCAAACAGATGCTCCCTGAGGGCTGGAAAACAAACTTGACAAAGAACATTTCTCCTGCAAAGTTTTTGTGCCTGGGATCTGGCCTGGTGTTGCTGGAGGCTGGCACACTGAGTGCTTTGGTTTCTAAACTCACTGCCCTAGTCGTGTTGCTGCTCCTTCATCCTGTGCCTCAGTGCCCTGGCCTGATCCATGGTGTCTCTGCGGTACTCGGGGTGCGTCATCCTCGTCCTACACTGCGTTGCCTGTGCATTCACCGTGGGGAGCACTGAATCAAGGAAGGTGAATTTACACGGAAGGGTCTCCTCCGCTTCATGCTGAGACTAGAAACCAGAGCCTGGCAAGGGCTGGGAAAGTGCTCTCTACTGAGCCACAGCCGCAGGCCTAGGAGGAGTTTTTAAGTAGTGTTACTGCCTTGGTGAAGTGCTTGGACCGCTGTGCCGAAATATCGCGGATTTTTTTTTCCCCTCTTAAATAGCTATGTTGCTGCCACTTTTGCTTGCATGACTAACAGTAGCTCTGTGTCACCTACCCCAAAGCCTACATATTAACTTGGCAGTCTTTGCTCTTCTCTTCCCACCTCCTGCCCAGCTCTTCTCCAAGGCCTAGGGTCAGGGACTTGACAGAGTCGGTGCTGAGTGGAAACTGGAGGACAGTGCTCTTTCCTGAAGCTTCCTATGTTGTGTTTCTCTCACTTCCAGTCATGCCTGCTGTAATGATGCTAGGTTATCTAAATTTTTATCCATGATAAACATTTTATGTTACTTAAAACTCCATTTTTAGAGAGTTACTTTATGTCATGTTGTATGGCATACATTAGACCTGTGATGTCCAGCAAGCTAAAATATTGGGCAGGGTGAAAAGTTTATTATTTTGACCTAGGGATTAAAACACATTTACCCTGAAGACAAATAAGCAATATAAGCTTTGTTATTTCTTCTTTTGAACCTATAGTGTTGCAAGCTTATTTTAAATCATTTGATATAGAGAAATACATGACTGGTTTAAAATAGAATGAAAAATATTCATAGCAAATCTCACAAGTAGTGCTCTATTTTGAGACTGGATTTGTTACAAAGTATTTCAAGACAAAGATATTAGGAAATTTTTCCACATCTCCTTTTTCTCAATTCACATAGAGGTTAAGAGCTTAAAACACTTTTTATATGCGCCCAGTTGGTTTTCTAATGAGACAGAATATTTATATATATGTATCTTCTTTCTCCAAATTTGCTTCATTAGTAACTCAACTATCTCTCCAGCCCCGTTAAATTACTCTTAAAATGAGAGTTGAAATGGATTTCTTTTTCTTTTCAGAATTTTGGGTCATTTCAACAACTAATATATCTAACCTGGGCTTTGTGGTGTATATCTATAGTCCCAGCACTCCAGGAGGCTGAGGTAGAAGGACCCTACATGTTCAAAACTTAGCCTGGGCAATTTAGCTATTTAATGAGACCCAATCTCATAATAAAAAATGCTTAAAGAGCCTAGGGATGTAGCTCAGTGCAGAGATCCTGGGTTCAATATTTTTAATTGACTACAAACCAGAATGTGGTCTTGACAGCTACATGGACAGGCCAGAGTTCTTTAATATGTTTATATTTAGCTTTACCTTCCTGAAATGCTCTTCACTGAGTTAAACATTTACGCAGCCAGCTCCTGTCAGGTTGTATGAGTGCACTGCAAGAAATCCATGCAATAAAGAGCATCTGATGGAGCCCGCAGCTTTCTCAGGACGGAAGTGCTGCATTCCTGGTGGGGTCATTGAACTTCTGAGTGATGAGGTCGCTGCGCTCTTCTTTGGAGCCACTTGAGGTGTGGCTTTGATGCTCTTAGCTCGAGTGGTGTCTGCACAGTTGGTGTGGTGAGTGGCATTGTGTTGCTCTTGTAGCCTTGCCAGGAGCAGCATCCAAGCCTTGTCCAGCCTCCAGGGACAGAGAGGCTATCATCCAGTTGGAACAAATGCAAGCTTTGGAAGATGGATGGAGCTTCCCTCCTGGTTCCAAGTTTTGGAAAACCTTCCTTAGAGGGTCACTGAGGAGTAGCTGTAAGAAAATAGTGCCTAACACATAACTTCCTGCAATGATTCTCCCCACTATGGCTTTGAAAAGTTTCAGTGGAACCTTTACATTTATCTGCAATCAGACAAGCAGCAGTGTAGTGATTCCTATTAAATTCAGTCTCACACACTTAAGCACTTACTTCATAGGGAAGGAAGGTCTCGCAGATTCCTAGGCCTTTTCCTGACAGGCTGTCCCAGTGCGGGGGTAACCAAGCTTGAGTCCTCGCCAGAGGCATTGGTGTGGAATGGGGCACCTGTCCACCAGCAGCAGTGCTGCCGCCTCTGCTGTCCTCTGCTTTGGGAGCGAGCAGTCTCCAAGCCGCCCTCCTCCTGCTCCTGCTCCTCCTGCAGCCTCCCTCATCCATGCCTGTCCTCACCTTGGCTTCTCAGCCACGTCTATGAGAGGTTCTGCCTGTCATAGACTGTGTGTTGTGTGTTTGCTTGTTTTATATGTTTCTGGTTTTGTTGCTTTGTTTTATCTGAGCATAGTAACAAGCTTGTTTCTGAACCTCCCCGTGTCCCTTTCCTGAGGCTCCTGCCACTGGCTGCCCTTGTCTTGTTGGTTAACAGCACCACTTCTTACCTTGCTATTTCAGTGTCAAGGAGGAGCTGGGGCCAACAGGCCCAGGAGTATCAAGAACAAAAGCAACAGTCCTCCGCTAAAGACGGCCTCCAAGGCAGCAAGTCTAGTGACTCTGGCGAAGAAGCAGAAAAAGAATTTATTTTTGTGTAGAGGTTACCCATGCCAAAGCCTTCGTGCACAGGGAGCGTCTGTCCGTCATCAGAGAGGAACCAAGGCCAACACCTTTCCTACCCTTATCGCAGTGCTTTACTCTCTTTCTTCTAGTCTTTTCTTTCCTTCTTCCCTTCCTTCCTGCCCCCCTTCCCTTCCTCTATTTTTTTTTTTTTTTTTTTTTGGTCCCTGCTGCCTTCCTTCCTATGTTTTTTTAGAATATAGAAACAGAGCCCTGTTTTGATTGTTGAAGCACATTTTTGGTCTTCCCCAGTCCTTGGTGTTGGCTTCCTAAACACTGCTTCCTATGCCTTCCGTGAAAGCCAGCAATTCTTCCTTGGGCCTTACTTGAATTTCTCTGAGGCAGCTAGAGATCGCCCCACAAGCTGGGCTTTCGGAGGTTGGTGGAGTAGCTGGACGCGCACTCGTGTGAGTGACTCCACCTGGAAGGCAGGGGCCGCTGCTGCAGGTGTTTGTGCCCAATCTGCACCTGACTCGAGGTAGCAATTCACTCTTGGCGTATGCAATTGCACATTGTAATTATATTAACAGAGCACATTAATAAATAATTTGTATAAATTATATATATTAGATCTCGGGTATGGTTTTTACATTCTCCCATGGGGAACTAACTTCCTTCCTTGATGTGGAATTGTACATTTTATAGCCTGGTGAGTGGCCTTCATGTACTGTGGATAAGCACCGTCAGAGGAGAGATGCCATGCCCGATGCAGTGTACATACTGGATTGGAATAAGGTTTTATGAATATTCATGTTTTCTGAAGGCCTTTAATTTCTGTCTGCATATTAGCTTTTAATGTGTGATTTGAAAAAACAATACTTTGACACCTGTAAAAAAAAAATCAAAATACTACCCTTTATATAACATTTCACAAATATTCACCTACATTACAGGCTGAAGGTATTTTATTCATATGTATATTTATACCAATAAAATGATTTTACAAGTGGAATTTCGACCTTCTCTGGTCACTTTCTTCGTTCAGATTGGCTTGTGCTGGTGAACTTCGGATTTGTTTGTGAAATGCAGAATAATTGCAGTTCTCAGATAATCAGCAGCCTGGGAACCAGCTCGCTTTGGGATGAATGTGACTGGCTATTGCTACTGGCTGCTATGTCCACCAGGAAAAGAAGATGAAATGGGACAGAAGGGCATAGACTTCTGCGTGTGACCCAGATCCCACTGCCACGAACTGTGGGTTCCTGGGGGGTGCTGGAGGGAGTGAGAGGCAATGTTGTTATCTGTTGGAAAGAAGAGGCACAGAGTGGGGCCCTTGAATGATGTGACCGTTTCTCTCCTTCACTCCCCCTTGCCAGCCCTTGGGTCCCGGCATGTGGGTCACTGCCCATCATCGCAGAGGGAGCCATTGCTGCTGCTGTTCCTGTGCTCCATGTTTCTGGCCACAAACAGGCATGAGATCACTTCCTGCCACGGTAGCTGCTGTCGTTGGTGCTTGATGGGACCTGGGCTCTCTAATGAGATAGGGAAGTATGTGTTGGAGTGAAGAGCTGGCAGGCTGTGGAGAGCAACTGGACCCTGCTAAGGGTGATGAAGCCCACGCTTGGGATAGGCAGTGCTGTGGTCCTGTCTGCGATGCCTCGAGGAAGCCTCAGAGGAAGTGACACCTGTGCAAGGCCTTGGAATAATGTTTCATAAGCTCAGGGACTATGCGTGGTTCCCAGTTGTACTGCTCATAAGTATATGTTGTGACCCATGTCCTGGGGCCCACAAAGAATAACAGGGAGATAGGAACGGGGCTCAGATGCTGGTCACTGGCAAGCCTACGTGGTAAGTGGCACACTTGCCGCACATCACGGTCTTTCTGAATTTCCATAAGGAGCTATTCTGGAAGAAAGGAAAGAAGAAGCCCAGACAGTAAAAAACCTTGTTATTTTATTAAGGAGTTAGAACTGGACTCTATGCCACAAGATGCCATTGTATATTTTTCATGTAATCGGAAGAGATAGAGCCAGGAACTGGAGGCAGGCACTCTTTAAGACGTGGCTTGGCAGGAATCCTTAATCATTTCCATTCTCGCTATGGTGCCAGAGAGCATTCTGGGAGTTGGGGCTGATGACAGCCTGCTGCTGCTGCTGTGCTGTGCTGTGCACAGCTGGGCAGTGAGGACCAAGCTGTTCTGCACAGTGCACTGCCTCTCTACCAGGCAGTCTCTGCCCTTGGATCTCCCGTCAGCCTGGCCGAGACTTTCCCAGTTACCCTGGAGCTCTTCCCACCCACTCCTCCACTCTTCCTTCCCAGTCTCCCTTTGCAGGCATTGCCCCCAGCAAATCTGCAGCTGAGCTCCTGCATGGCATCTGTGCCTGAAGCAGAGGTGACAGGTTTCACCACATCACGTGACCTCCAGCCATTCTGGCCAGGATGAAGGGACAAGGTAGCTTCACAGTGTGTCTGCTGAGCTGGAGGCGATTGGAGCTACCCTCAAAGTGGGTGGGCTTTTATGTAGGTTTCACAAGTATGTTGGAGTTATGACATCACTCTAAGGGAAAGATTACTGTAGGTAGAGGGGACTGGCATCCCGAGATATTTTAGGACTTCTAGCACACCCGGTGCACCTAGATTCCTGTGACCCTTGTGAAGTGCAGGTGAGGAGAAGCAGACCCACGCTCATTCACCCAGCATTCCACTGGCTCAGGCCCTGGCTGCTGTCACCTCCCTGTTGGGCATCCTGCTCTGCCTCCTATCCAAATGGAAGCTGTTTGCCTGCCTAAGTTCCTGAGCTCAGAACCAAGCCCATGCTCCAAATCCCCAAAACCCAGAGCAAGAAGGCAAGAAGGCAAAGTGCAGCACTTCCCTGGCCAGCACAAGGGCCTGAGTTCAATCTTTGGTTCTGGGAAAAAAAAAAAAGAATGCAAAGTGCAAAAGGCAGCACCCTGGAAAGAAGAAGAAAGTTCTTCATCCCTCTGGTATTCCAACATTACCTTCATCTCTCCTGAATTTGAACTGTAGCTAAATCTCTGTTCGTGGCTGTCTGGCCTTTGCCTCTCCTGCTTCACTGATGGTACAAGCCTGAGGCCAGGTGAACTGTGCTCAGTGAGCTGTACCAGTTCGCACAGCGTCTGTCATTCTCTCCCCACACACCACAAACTCACTAAGCCACTCTGTTCACTGGAATGGCCATTGTTTATCTCCTGGGGCCAAGGAAAGGTGAGAGAAGGGCTTTGTAGTTTTGTGTCTTTTATATTCCTGGGAAGTTGGAGGGTTGGGCTCCCTTATGTGGTCATCACTGGCCCAGAGATCTGCCTAGGTTTTGGAATCCTGGTGGCTGTCTGCCACTGCCACTAAGCTATCGCCCAGGCTCCTAATGTAGAAGTATTAGAGACCTACGTTCTGCATCTCGGGTGCCTTAGCCTTGGGTCAGAATTTTGTCTTGGGTAAGCATTGCAACTTGAATTTGTAGCTCCCTTTGCAGGCGAAATCTTCAAGACATACCTGAAAACCTTTCTCAAGATCAAGAGTTAGAAACTTGCCCTAGTCAGAGATTTCACCAAATAGAGATAAATATGCTTCCTCCAGGGGCATTGTCATTATTGTTATGGGTTTCTGGCAAATTTGAATGGAACTGGGATAATCTCTTTCTAATCACAGCTTGCATCACCCTTGACACACTCGGAGGCCATCTCCCCATATGCACAGCTCACCCTGGGGTGTTCTGAGCATCCACACCCAACCCGCTACCTCAGGGACCCTGGGCACAGGTCTCTTGTGAGAGTAAAGGTGTACACTTACCCTTACTTTCTGGAGGTGTGGGGGAAAGAATTGCCATATCTGAAGGACACAAGCACCGTCTGAAGGGAGGACACCGAGTTGCCAGCCATGTGGTCATCGGGTCCTGGGTGCAGAAAATCTAGGCCTGGAAAATGTGTTTGAGTCTCTAGTCCTTGGAGCCCTGCAGAGGATTCAGAGCCGAGCTGTGGGAGGATCTCTGCCTGAGTACACACAGAAGAGAATCCAGAAGGGAGCCCTGCAGAACAGAGGTAACACAGAAGCTGTCTGAGGGAGATGCTCAGGCCAGCAGCCCCAGGGGTCCCCAGGTCCTCAGCAGAGTAGAGGGGAAAGGCAGCTGCTCCTGCTCTTTTGCAAGTGAGGAGGCAAGGTGAATATTGACGATCCAGTGGCTTCACTCCAGAGGTGGCACGGCCAGCCCAACTGTCTTTTGAATCATGTTCCGCCGCCGGCTGGCTGTTCATGCACTGCCTTCTCCCATCACTTCTCCAGGTCGCTTTATTTCCCTCCCAAGGTCCAGGATCCCTCTTTGTGATGGTGTCTCCGTCCTCTTCCATTCAGTGTAATTATGATGATCCATAAGCATCAGAGACTGTGATGTCCACTACAGATGGCTCGTGGGGTAAAGTAGCTGTGTGCGATGCCCAGTTACGACAGTCTTAAGAATTGGGAGCACTCAGGCTTGTAAGACTCACTTCGCACTGGAGGGCCAATGTCTGAAACAAAGTGCTTGTGGCCAGATGTCCCTGCGCTTGCTTTTCTTGCAGCTGCCTTGCTGGAGTTTCACTGCTCCACAAAGGCAGACCCTGGCCTTTGCTCCAGGGGAGAGGCCTAAGTGGTGTGGCTCTTCTGGCCTCTGATCAGCCAAGTTCCAGACGGGGTCTTTCCGCAGGGCACATCATGGGCACATTCAGGTGTTTGTGAGCTTGGATTATAAGAAAAAAAATTTTTTTTTCATTATCTCATTTGTATTTTCAGTGTTTCCTTCAGTTGTGAGCACTGCTGTCCATCAGTGTCTGAGGAGGGCTGGTTCTGCTAGACCTCTCCTCCAGAGACCAAAATCCAACTGCCTTGGTACCTGGTATGGTGGTGCAGTCTCTGAGTGTAACCTGCACACATCCTCCTGTGCCCTTTGAATCCTCTCTAGATTACTTCATACTTAAGATAGTGCAAGCACTATGCAAGTAGGAATTATTTTTAGGGAATAGTGGCAAAAAAAAAAGTATACATTTTTTCAGCATAACCTTTTAAAAAAAAAAAATTTAACATGGGGCCAGGGAGATGGCTCAGTAGAATAAGCACGTCCCTGGCAAGCGCAAGGGTCTGAGTTCAATCCCCGGTTCCGCAAAAAAAAAAAAAAAAAAATTAACATCAGTTCTCAGATGTGGATCTCCTGCTATTCAGAGGAGCAAGTGTATTTGCACCAAACCACAGTAGTGTTAGCACTACCTGGAACAATGGAGATCACAGATATTTTCACAGGTACTGTAAAAGCTCATCATTTTCATCCTTACTGCAAAATTATGACAGTTTATAGGATTCTCTGCTAGATCATGTTTAATGAATTAGTAAAGAAATGCATCTTGGGCTGGCTAGATAGCTCAGTGGACTAAAGGGCCTGCTTAAACAGACACAGGGACCAGGGTTTGATTCCCCCAAACCCTGGTTGCCATGCCGGCCCCACCCCCAGGGCACACTGAGAGGCAGTTGAGACTGGGCATGGTGGTGCATGTGTGTAATCCCAGCACTTGGGCAGCTGAAAACAGAACGATCACTATGAGTCCGATCTATGTAGTGAGACCCTGCAGACCCTATATACCCTGTCCTAAATACATTAAAAAATTTAAAAATGAACATCCACTCCTTTGTTTATATTCATTTTAAAAATGTTTCTCACCAGGAATGGTAGTACATGCCTGAATCCCAGCACTCAGGAGGCTGAAGCAGGAGGATCACCATGAGTTTGAGGCCAGCCTAAATAAAGACCATCCTAAACTACACAGTGAGACTCTATCTTTAAAAAAAGTGTCTAAAACTACATTTCAGTACAGTTTCCTTTATAATGCTCCAGCAGGCTTTGTTCATATAAAATTCCTTCTGAGAAGATGTGCAGACTTTATCAGACTCTCAAGAGGGTGACAGTCCAGCCAGGCTGGGACCCAGCTTGGGAAGCTGCAGGCAGTGCAGGAGTTCTAGCTCA